CCAAATAAAACGTCCTGTAGTATATTGAAATCTATGGAACTGAAGGCAGCATAAATGTTAATAGTTCTAGGAATATTGTCGTTCTGAACATATTTTAATTAACCGGTACAGAAGAATGCAGTATTTCAGTTATTTTAAGTAATGATAAAGGTTTCCTATAGCCTACACGATTCAACAAAATTGTGAAGGAGGTTTGCTTTTTGTGATTTCGGAATTATAAATAGGGTCTGTCAATTCTCATTGTTAAAATGTGTTTTGAGGTGATGTTTGTACTCTATATTAGTAATATGACGTTACCTTCTGTATCTCACTCTACCACAACTCAAACTCGACTAGAATGTAATCATTTAGCATTTAGTCAAGGGAATAAATCTTATTTTTATAACAATGTTAATAAAACCTGTATAATTTATCCTACTATAATATATAGGAAAGATTCATTGGTTCACACCCTGGATTTGAATATTTTGTTGAAGACGGTAAGTTTTGAGTAGCTTTTAATTATTTGGATTCGATGATATTTTGTCGTCCTCTATGATCTGGGGAAATGCTTTTTTAATCGTGTTCTGTTGAATTCTGACCCAATTGTGTTATTCATCAATTTTTCCTTTATACACATCAATGCAAAACAATGAATATCACAATGAATATACACAATCTGATCTCCAGATCATGGATGGTAAGCAGGGTATCCGATAGAGGAAATTTGCAACTTTTTAAAATGTTAGTTCTTATCAGGTTTACGCTACGGATTTTAAAATATTGTGTCCGCTAAAGCACACCATACAACACAAGAGGCGTCACGCTGTGAATAAAAAAGTCTTCTATTGTACTATTCCACTAACGTGTTTGTAATTTGGAATTGATTGGTTTGTCTGGTTTGGAACTCTGCCCTGACAATCCCTTTCGAACCTCTACACCTATGGTGCAGTCTGCGAGCAAACATTTTCTTATCAAAAGTGCCATTGTCGTGATCCTATCAATCTAATTAAAATAAGAGTACAATTTCGTTTCATTATTTTTTTTTTGGGGGGTCTTTATTGTAATTTAACAAGCTTTTTACCAATGTCACGTTCTGTTGACGTTCATTTTACTAATCACAGCGCGTCTTGTAGAAACCGTGCCTAAATATTGACTACAAAGTGTGAGGTAGCGAAACCGAAAGTAAACACGACTATCGAATTTATGATGAATTATGAGTTGGCGGAAGCGTGGCACGTGATTGGCGTCTATAAATGGCTTGCAGCGTCACTAGTACCAGTAGATATAAATCTCACTAGATTACAAGCAGCAACTACCTAATGTGCAATATCAGCATCCCTTGCGAGCGAACGTTAACTTATCATCCTCCAACCAACCAACAAATGGAGACCAAAAAAAAAACGAAATTGTATTCTCTAAGATTGTGGTCCAATAAGCCCTGATAGATACCAAATCTTATACCGTGACCTAATATTTTATATATCAACTAGCTCCTGCTTGTGGACCTCCTCCAGTCCCAAAAGGTCACAAATTATTAGAAGTAATTGGATCTCCTGGTAATTATACAGCGAGATATAAATGTGATCAGTTATACGTTCATCGTCAAATAGACGAAACACGATGTATTGGTGATTCAGACTGGACGGAAACACCATGCAAGGGTAAGTTTAACTTAGTATTATCATATAACTTCGCTTAAAGTATTTTAGAAATCTACTTCCGGTTTGTAATGGTTAGAATTATATATCATATTTAAAAGCATATCCGAATCGTAAAAACCTCAAAAAATCAATGAAGTCTGAGAGCAATCATTGATCATTCCGGATAGACAAATAAGACAAAGCCATGTGCTATGTATCCAGCCAAAGCGAATTTAGTGTATATCTAGAAAAACACAATACAAAACTTCTTGATCTATATTTTCAGATTATTGTTCATTTTTATACGCCCACATGAAATGGGGCGTATTGTCGCCACCCATGTCCGTCCGTCCGTCCACAATTGATCGTAAACACTCTCGAAGCCAAAATTTCTTGAAAATTGAAATATCGAAAATTAGTAGAATCGAAAAATATTTCGTGTTTGTTATTGCCCTTGTTCTTGAAAACACATTCAATTTTTAGCTCGTATACACTACAGAAGGCACAATTCTTGACAGATTTAGATGAAACTTGGTGTGAGTGTTACTAATCACCCAAAGTTGAACCAAATTGAAAATCAGAAAGATCGAAAAATAATTAGTATGAGTTATTACCCTCGTTCTTGAAAACGCGTTAAATTTTTAGCCCATAAATCAACACACAAGATGGCACAATTCTTCTTGGATTTTGACGAAACTTGGTGTGAGTTTTTGTTATTAACCAAGGATGAACCCTATCGTAAAACAGAAGAATTGAAAAATATTTAGTTTGAGTTATTGCCTTTGTTCTTAAAAACGCGTTCGTTAGTCCTGTAAACAATCAGGAAGGCCCAATTCTTAACAGATTTTGACAAAACTTGATAATATTATACAGTATCTCCACAAAAATTTCAAAAGAAGTGTCAGACTTAAGGTTGAATATTTCATACTGGTGATTGTTACTGTATGCCAAATATTTAAAATCAAAGCTGCCAGTGGGCGTACATTACCTTGTATGGCAAGCTATCTTATTACAGATTTTGCTTCTTGTGCAACGATAAAAGAATGTAACTCGTCTTACACAACTGACGGTGAATATATTCATTATCCTGGTATCTTAAACAGTTCTTCAGTTCGTCTGTATTGTCACAACATGAATACCAGCAATCCTAAAACCTACCTCACTCTCAATGCTACTAATGTGTTTGATTATCCTACTGGAAGATGCGGTAATAATACTGGATGTAAAGTGTTTCCCTATACCAATCCTGATCAAGGAAAGACAACTTTCACAAAGGTTGCTATTGATACAAAGGTAAATGAAGTGTGTTAGCTTGGACAATCTCATAGAGATGTACCACCTAGAACTATGTGGCATGGTATCGACCTTAAAGAAGAGTCTGTAAAGAGCAGCCAAAATCTGCGGACACCCAGTTGATCAAAGATGTTAGCAACAGTGCAATAGAACGAACCGATGAGATGATGTGGTTATAAAATCAAAGTTCCATTTGGGAAAGTTCCCCGTTGGTTACTTGCTACTTTTGTAGTTTTTAGATGTTGTTTTAAGACTGAGTTTTTTGGTAGATTCCTTCAGTGGCGGAGCCAGGTTTACTTGCTTTCGGGGCTGTAAAGGGTGTTGGGGTGAGGCTTGTCTCCGCCACTGGATTCCTTTGAAATTCCTTCATTGAATACATTATTATATATAGTCTATCTATCCTGATAATTTTTTCTTCAGAAAATGTCCAGCATAAAGAATGATTATACATTTACTATTCAACATTTTGGAGCTCAGAGGACGTATGGCTCGGTGTATTGCTGTAGTCGTTCAAATATAGCAATGTGTTTGAGAGGAAGATCAACATTAGATGTAACTAATACAGGATTAATGATCAGTAACTCGGTAAGTATCCATGTTCTTCAACGGAGATGCAATCTTTAGTGTTAGAACACGTTTGAGATCCCTTGACAACGGGAACGAGTAAGACAGTACGCTGTACAAGACAGTGTCGCAGTAAACACTCCTTGATTGTATTAAATAACGGAACACAATTTTATGGTATACTACTCCTTAGTTTTATTACACACGACGTTTCAACAATCTACATTGTTATCTTCAGGTGAAGTGTACACTGAACCTCATTGTTTGTTTTTATTAACCAGACTATCAGTTTCACGCAGCGATAAAATTATAGTTTTCATATAGACAGGTCCACGTGTTTGTTTTCTATTGAGAAGCATAGAAGTTTGTTTAATACCCCCAGTTCACCAATCATTTTTTTGGTCCCGACAATGCCCTACCATTTTGTTTGGTCGATCGGCTGCATTTTTGCGAAAAGGTCTGAAACCTGCGAGTACCATCGAGCACTACTTTATGGCTTCGGGGTCTGGTGTGATCGCCTCTGTCCTACAAAGGTTCGGTACCGGTATTGGTGAACTGGAGGTATAAAGAACTTGTTATCAGTTGAATCATGTTACTATTTACCACCTCGCAGATGCGTATCACTACCCTTGCACGGATAAACAAAATATTACTTTAATGTAGGAAGGTCTTTGTTCTGAAATTCGAACGTTAATATGGTTGTTTTATGAAATCTTGTTTTTTCATAAACTTCCTGGAAAAAATAAGAGGCACATGACACGCAATATTTAATATTTTTACAGACAACATGGTCAAAAACCGGACATTCAAGTCATTTTACAGTAAATAGAACTGATTTTGTGGTACAATTAAGAGGTGACGGTAGTTGCGGTGGGGCTAGACCAACTAGTAACTTGATACAATTTGTTAAAGATCAACAATATGGTAAGCCTGATATAGATGAATACGGTTGTTTATCAAGGCCCATCGTATCTTCAATACTTGATTATCGGTGATGGACTAATTATTATTTAATTGTTACAATTTTCTATCGTGTATCACTTTAGTCAACAGCCAATCAACACTTGTACGCAGCAATTTCTACATTACCACGTAACTTAAGGGCTAAATGCTAGACTATCCGAACATAGTAATTCATTGTGAATATTTAGGTTCTGGTGTAGAAAACTATTCTGCAATTCTTAACAGGATTTTTTTTTGGTCCAGATGATATTGATATTCTCAAATAAGAGCTGACAATGAGTTCATCATAAAAGTTGGGGATACTACCATACAGGATACATAAATATGATATATTGAATACCTGTGGCTAGACCAAAACATCTCTCTCTATTCCAGCCTCTGATAGTAATTTGAACAGATGTTTGGCTGGTTTAGAGCCAGAAAAACTAGGCCCTGATAAATAGAGACATTCCGCATCTCCGCAGGTGCGGGTTTTTTAAAACATATTTAGATACCTCGAATCTGCAAAACCCAGATATATTTGGAAAGATGAATATTTTTGTAGTTCAGTCATACCCACCTTTTTTCCCTACATCATTTATGTCGCATCTCGCAACCGCCAATTAAAACTGCATGCGCAGCCAATAGTTCAAAAGTCACAGAGTCAGGTGATACTAATAAAACGGTGATGCCCAACACTAATTTACAGTCATCGTAAAGGTAATTTAATATAAAAACGCATCTTCTGAGGTGTGATAAATTTCCAATTAACAGGGTATATTTTTTCTGACTCTACTCCAGCCGACAACTGTCAAAATATCCATCAGAGGCTGGAATAGAGGAAGATGTGGCAAGTTTTATCGTTATGCCTAGATATGACGGAAAGGTTCGTGCATTTTATTGGGTTCTAAGCTTAGGATCTACGAAATCCTTGAAAGGTCTTAAAACGTGATATTGAATGTGATCTCAAAATTAACTATAACTAATAACTATCACGCAATAAAAAATTCTACTTAGAACATCGTAGAACGTAACGCTTTTTCCGTTTCTTTTTCAGTTATGCCGGTTGATACTATAGATCCGCAATGTCTTTTACTTGGTATATAGAAATACCAAACACCTACAAACACCTGTGACTTTGGGCAATTAAACCCCGCCTTAAAACGTATCAATGAATTTTGTGGTATTTCACGTCACTAATAGATTTCCGTTAAACAGTGAAACTGTATGACTTTTTATTTTATCTGCACAATATAGATTCACCTGATTCACTTTTCTTTAATTCGTTATGGAAAATGGTTTTGTATTTGATCGTGGTAAAATAAAGTAATGTTTGTTCGTCCAGCTGAGAGAGTTCAATATTAGCTCAATTTACCACACGTTTGTTTTATTTCCAAAAATAGAGAGCATGTTTTGACGATTCGACCACAGGCCCTTGAAGTTCTGTCAATATTAATGAAATATGGGCAATGTATAGAAAATAAAAAAGAGAAGGCTTCCAATGGCATAACAGGCACCAAATGTAAATAAATGTTTATCTGTTCGTGA